CAAGCTGCTTTCAAGCCTTCCAAAAATTCTGGTAACCACTCCCATTTTCCAGAAACACTAAAGATGGGAGAATGCTGTCAATGTGGCAGCTTATAGTGCTGTTTCTCTGCCAAGCAGTAAAACTTATTGTCATTTTAAACATCTGTGTCAAGCATACTCATCCACTGGTCAGGAAAAACACATTTTTTTTCCAAGTCATTATGGTTTAAAGGTGACAGTGGTGAGTGCTAAAGCCCAGAGATGACCTCTGCTGCTGTTTGAAAAGTTTTGTTAAGACCACATTTTCAAGGAGATAATTTAGGACAGTTGTTGACTGGAGACGATTGATTCTTGTATTGCCTAACAGAAAAGTAGTGCAGAAGTCTCCATCTTGGTGGTCCTTGATATTAAACATTTTATGACAAAAACTCTTTTCTCAGAATTTAAATGGATTCAACTGCATGTACAATTGCAACTAATGTAAAGATAGTAGTGGGCTGCCAAAAACTCCTTAGTTAAGGAGACTTGGATACTTATATATAAAGGTAATCAGATATTTTCAATATTAGCTATTGTTAGCTAGTTCTTCATTCACTTTGCAAAAAGTTAGCATATTTATAATAAATTTATCACTGCTGGACCTACTGTGTAACTATAAATATTAAATTAAATGTGATATAAAATTCTTTTTCTCTTGTTTGATTACTGAGAACAGATGCTCAATGGTGTGTATGAATGCAATGCCATATGTCAGATAAGGCAATGCAGTAGTTTTTCAGAGGAAGTAATAATATATCTTGCTTTACTTAATATCTTTGTAATGATAGCATATGGAGGGTCATATTGGTACCACAATATGGGGAAACTTGTAATTTGTGAAAACAAATTCATCTTCCTCTCTGTTCTGAAAGTACAGCTGAGCTGTGAACACAACTAGCAGAGAGGACAGACAAAAAAGAATCCTTTTTTTGTTTATTAATTTTGTTCTTGTGTTTTCATTTAGGGGATAAATCTTCATGGTGAATGGAAGCCCTTTCCTTTATTTTTGCCCATGCACAAAAGAGGTTTAAATTTCATTGGATTGGCTTTTTGGCATTTCAGCCTCATTTGTACAAAGATGCTGAAATCACAACTGTAGTTTTGTGGCAAACCTTCCCCTCTGATTTCACTACTATTTCTTTATGCAATTTGTTTACAAATCAGTTTCCAGCCCACAAAATCCAGTACACTACAGAACTATCACTTCTGACATGTGTCAGTGTCACATTTATGAACTAGTATTTAGCAGTAGTAGTGCTAACAATGGTTTCTCAAAGAAGTCCAGAAACTATTTAGAAGTTTAATCATGATTTTAGCAATGTATTTTGCCTAGTCTCCAGACTACACTGAATTAAAACAGTAACTCTGACAAGGTGGAAATCAGTTTCTGAGTTCATTTCTAGGAGAAAATGATTCACAAACAGGATAGTGACAGGCTTTTATGATTACAGATTTCACATATTCTACTCCTTCAAAAGGGCTTATTGAGATTGATAGATCTACAAAGAGAGAAATGAAAAAATGAAGGGAAGAGATATAAATAGACTTTTTCATTAGGATGAATGATGGAAGGTAATAACCCCACTACCGTAGTATGCCTTTTACATGTCCCTTTTTTTTTTCATTCCTTTTGACCTGCTACCATCTTCCCTCTAAGTAAAAGTTAACTACAGTATGAAATGTAGGTAGGGTGAGCAATAGCTGGAAATAAATGTTTCCTCAAGCATTATTACTGTTCAGAAAAGTGTCCATCAGCTGAAATGTCAGGCTCCAAATCCATTTAAGCACTGCATAGAGGCTAAACAGGCAGCTATTATTAATTTTTAAGTCTGCTTGATGGGTTTTAGACCAAGAACTGGGGTTAACTCAATGCACTAAATATTGCAGAGTATATTTAATTAGGGAGGCTTTGAGACTCTGATGGCTGAGGATTTATTCTGTACAAGCTACTGCTTAAAATATGATGGAATAGCTGCATCTACCTAAGAAAAAGATCTGCTGCATCATATTTAAATGCATAAAATTGGTCTTAGTTGCAGGTTTTTGGAATTTTGTCCTAATATAAACAGTCTACTTTCAATATGTTTTGAAGCACCATTGTGCTTACATCTAGAATAATTTTCTGTTCATTATGCTGCAAGTTAGCATTGTGAATTTCTCTAGAATAAGTCCTGTTCTTCTCAGCTAATTATCAAACTGAACCATTTTCTTTCTGTGGCTTAAACAGACATTTCTTTATTCAAAACATATTTGTGGGATTCTTATGAAGGGGTTAACATTTGTCTATAATGCATTTATCTATAAACATAGAGGGCTCTAAAACACAAATGGGCACTAAGACACAAAGTGAGATATTAATGGGCTGCTTATTTGCTTTGATCCAATTTAGAATCTTAGAAGGCAATAAAAAAGTAGCAAGTCAGAAATTACTTCTTTCCAATGGTTGTAAAATCTCCTAGCTGCATCTATTCCACTTCTTAGCTCCTCTCTTTCTGTCCTTTGTGCACTGCTCTGGCCCCTGCCCCAGGTCATTTTCTGCCAACAAAGAAAACCTATTCACACAAGAGTATAGAAGATCAAATGTAAAGATAGAAGTGAAATGGGAAATTTGTCCATTCCTAACAAAGGACATTACACCATATTTTCCAAGACAAGTGAGGTGATTTTCACTTGTAACAGACAAGCAAATTGTCATTGACAGTTCTGAAAGACAAGCAGAAATTAAATGCAGGCCCCTGAGTCAGTTGAGGAGAATGGGAATGGGTTAGTTCTACATACTACATACTTAGCACTTGATGTGCTTTATTGGTTGATAAATATGTTATCTGCTCTCCATTCTCAGTGATTTAAATATCCATCTGTATTGCATGGCCCAAAACCCTCAGAAGATAATTAGGTGGGCTCACCATCAGAGGAAAATGAAGCAGTTCCCATCTCTTCTGAACTAGACATGTTTTCAAAGTGAACAGGGTCATTAATTTGGAAAAAACCCTCTCGTGAGGCCTTGAGTGTCTAAGTCACATATGGTCTGTAGCAGTTTCCATGAACATGTATTCTTTCCTGAGAGTTTTGTCTTCCACACTTCCCTAAAACAGGGTGTGTGAAGCACACTATAAAGGGCTAAGCAAAGCCAACAGTAATATAACATATTTTTGCAAAAATTGGAAGAGTATGTCTTCCCAGGTACCGATGCATTTGTGCTGGCATGTGGGTGTGGATGTGCACGCACGTTTCTCCTTCAAAGGCACTGCAGTTTGTGTCTTCCTCATCACCTGCAGGCCTCCCCTAACAGCTGATGTAGCCCCATGCTCCAGGCACTTAGTAACTGCTTCATAAAGTTTCCAGCTATCTCTATGAAGCCCTGGCTGCTGCCCTGACTCATCACAGCAATAGGGACAGGAGCAGTGTCTGGATTTCACCAAGCAAAGGCTGCGTTTATGAATCCCAAGCCACACAGCCACTGTGCTGCTGTGCCATCTGCTGATGCCCTGTGTTACCAGTTCCTCCTAACTGGCAGTTTCCAGCTCTCCTAGGAAGCATTTTCTGGGCTTTTTCTCCTCAAGCCCTACATTTTATTTATGTTTCTTCTCCAGGTGTTCATATTTCTCCTTTACAGCATCCATCTTTATCCAGGCTCCTTTTGCCTTTCCACAGTACAATATGTGCACACCCTGTAAGTGCTTATGCCTTACCACTCAATTTTATCTGAGGATCTCTTTGATATATTTTCTTCTTAATAAAACCTTTAAATAAAAGTGTTAAAATAGATTTGATACTAATGTCTGTTGCATTATGATGGAGAACTGAACATTGTACCATTTGTAGCAATAAAAAAATATTTTGTTTATAGTCCTTCACACTGTTTTCAATGAAACAATCTGCTTTTCTATCACACACATGAATTACTTGAATTATGTTTTCAATAAGATTTTCCAGGTACTATCAAATACCTTCCTACAAAATAAATTAATTTCTCCTATGATATTCACCCACTAGACCTATTCTGCGAAAAAACAGAACAACTATGTAAAGATTTATGAATAAAAATGTTTATAAATAAATATTTAATTTCATGTTATTTATGCTATAACCATAAAATGCTATTGACATTATTTTTTTTTTTTTCCCCTAGAGAGAGCTATTTTACTGTTTACCTCCCCATAAATAAGAAGTAATTTAAATGATCACACGTTGTTCCTTTTTAAATTTGTTCTTGTGTTCGCTCCTCTGCTCATCCAATATTTTTCCATTCTCTCTACTGCTTTTACCAATGGCTATCCCAGTCATGGAGGTATGGTGACATCCTCAGACAATTCTCACAACCACTTTTCACACAGCATCCTACCAAAATGTTCAGCCTATTCAGATTTTTCCAATACTCTCTTAATGATTTTTTGAGAAATACTTTCTTAAGGTGTGCACGTTTTCAAACTTTTGGAACAACATGAGTACATATATAAGGGTTTCATGGACAAAAGGATGTCAAGAATATGGGGTCAGCATTTTAAATACATGGTCTAGGTGCCTGTAAGCATAGATCAGGTTTACCTAATTATTGATCAGAGTGATACTGCACACTGCAAATGGCTTGGTCTGTCCTCTCCATTAATTTTACTGCTGATAAAGATGCCATTTGGAAACACAGATTAAGACGTTTCAGGAGCTTTGATTCAAGTGTAAATGTACATCCATAAAGGCATATATATCTATATGTATGCAACATTGATCACATAATTTTCATCTCTGACTGGCTCATGTAAGAGGTTCACAAATCCCTAAGAAGAAGTTAAGAAATTGCAATCCCACCTTGATAAGTTGTTAGTACCTAAATAAGTATATCTTTAAGCATAACTGGTTGTGTACATGAATGCCAGATTCTGTCATTTTTCAAACTTTGTTCTTTGCCTTGGTAGTTTAATGCAAGACAGTTTCAGCCCAGGTACCTTGGCTCCAGGGATGGTGAGGTGTGTATCAGTACTTACAGCTGTCCTCCTCCTCCATGAAAATACTGATCACGTAACAGGCATACACAAATCCAATCAGCTGTGTGAAAAAAAGAGGAAAAGCCATCATTAAAACACATTGAACATTTATAAAGCTGTTACTACAATGATAAATACAAGTATCACAGCTAAATTTTAAAGATATTTACTTCTATTTCCTGAATTTACAAATTTCAGTGCAAAGAGCTAAATTAATTTCCTCTCTTTTGCTCATGTTGCATAACTTATATATAAATATGCATTTTATAGTTTAAAATATTTTCCTAGTCTCACTGGGATCAGTATTGATGAATACTACTATTGAGTAATATTGGTGGAAAACATCTGTAGCCTGATGTTCAGCTGTTATTTACTTTTGTTTGTTCTTCAATACCTCTGCTCTCACATGGCTTTTTCCACATGAATGTTGGCCTCTATGCACCTCATATGCTTACTAAAATGCCAATATATTTATTGACTGCTACAGAATTAAGTCATAGTAACACTTCTATGGAATCCACAAGAAGTGTCTTTTGGTGCTACATAAAGCACCCCAGTGAAGAACTGTTAGGCAAAATTTTAAATTGATAGTTGAATTGTCATGATGTAACTGAACAGTAAAACTGGGTTATGACTCATTGACATCAGGAAACACCATATTTCATGTAAGTCATGTTAACTATGCAGGAAATGAACAACAACATTTCCCCAAAGAACAACAGTCAAACCATGCCATTATTTTAGCAGCAGCACCCATGCAAGCATCCTCCTTAACCCAGATCTGTGTCACTTGTGCCGCCATGAGGAAGGGATTGAGATCTTTAGGATCAAGAAATAGAAACTCCACTCTCTCCTTATCCATATAGACAAAATGTTTTCTTATGACCATGACCAAAGATGAAGAAAATCCCAGTGGGCAAGAAAATCTATTAAACTGCACAACCAGACATGTCCAATCTTGAGAAAATATTGTTTGTGCAGCTGTGCACAATTCATGCCATCTGAAAGCCTTGAAAAGACTCTTCAAGGGAGATTTCAAAAATAGCCCAGAGATTAGTTTTAAGAACACTCCTTTTTCTCTGGTCCATTCAAAAAATCTAATTAAAATAGTTATTCTAAGGATGTCACGGATCAGCCATCTGAGAAAGAGGTAATTTAATAGTATCTAGACAGGTATAAGCTCCTTCAGAACCAGAAAAATCATTCCAACCTGCTTTCTGGTTGGGCTCCTGGCATGAGGAGCTTTACAAGCAGCTCCAAAAACCTCTCTGCAGACAAAAAGCTTGTCCACACAAGGGAATTCAGGGAAGTTAAGATGAATTAACTAAAGCTGTGAAATCAATGCACATAAGATAAAGTGCATTAAATCCCTGTGTGGCCTTTCCCATTCAGAAATAAAGTGGCCCTAGTTTACTGCAGCTTAATCCTTCTCCAAGGGATTAATCTTCCCATGGAGAATTAAGCTACAGTATGCTGAGGCTGAGCTACTTGTGAATGAGGGCTGTCACAGCGCCGTGGCACAGTCCTGTCACAGCTTCCTCTCCAGGGCATTCACCTCACTGCTGTTTTCACAAAGTGACTTCAATCCAACTTTTCTCTCATTCTGAGCAGATACAGCATCAGCAGCTTCCCTGACTGCTTTTTGGTGTCCAGTTTGCTGCGTGGTATTGCCACAGCCTCTCTCAGGTGAGCAGCACTGATGCTCTGAGCCAGCTAAATGCAATCCAGCTCTGGAGGAGGCTGGGATGGATCCATGACAGAGCTGCCCATCCCCATGAGCCTGGTGCCATGGAGCTGCAGCAGGATGGGACCCACAGACACGGCAGGGCTCACTTTACCTGCTGAGAGTTGTCTGGGTGGTTCGGAGCAGTCCAGCTCCTGCTATTAATGACAATGGGGTCTTATGGATCAGCTGCCAGCACACCCAGGGCCAGCAGTGGCTTACTGACTCCTTGGCAGATTAAACACATTTTTTCCTTAAACTTCACCGTTTAGAGCACCTTTCAGGCATGACAACTAAAACAATACAATATAAAGTCTTCCAAGAGATCAAAAGACAAATCATACCTGAGATGCAGAGCTTGTGCCACCTGAAGGTTACATATAATTTAAAAATATTGCATTAGTACCTTGGAAAAACCAGAACTCGGGTGATTTTTCATAACAGGATGTCACCTGTTTATTTACAATGTTTCCTGATCACCATTTGTGTTGTGCAATTTGACTGCATAAGTCACTGGTGTTTGTTTCTTTTTCTTAAAAACGACTAAAATATTTTGAAGATTAAAACTGCTGAGCAAATAATGAACATGATAGAAATTAATTGTAGTACAGGCTGTGGGTTAAGTGTTTGTGAAGGAAGATCAAATATTAGAATTATTTACTCTTTCCTCATCGTGTACTTATTTTTTCTTATTAGTAGCATTCTTTATTAAGCTAACTTTATTTTTATAAATGCATTTCATTCTCTATATCCATGCATATTATATAAGATTTATCTCTGTAAGTGCTTCCAGCAGATTTCTCAAATGTCTAAGATTTTGGGCAAGTGGATAAAGCACAGCAAGACTTCCACTCTAACAAGTAATAAAAGACCTGACACAGAGAAAACATGGGGAGAACTACTCAAAAAAGTCTTCCAAAAATGTGGGTCATGACAAGCCTGAGTTTTAACAGTCCAAAGAGTTTACATCCTGCTCTTTTAGTAGACCTTCTCCTTAATCTTTCCCCACTCTCTTCAATGTTTGAAACACACTTAGTCCAATCTGTGACCTTCTTGCAAAATCAGCAGCCTTTTTCTACTTTTCAGAAATATATTTCTTTATATTCCTCAGCATTAGAAATCACTGCTAGCTGTTATATTTATGATGTATATTTGTTTAAAACACACCATTTCCACCATCTGTTTAGTTATTAGTACTAGGAGAAATAAAAAAGTGTATATCCGCTCTCTTTCAATTCTGTGGTCTTTTCAATGGGAAGAAAAAGATGAGGCGATTAATCATAGCCCTCCATAATCCAACAATATCTTCTTTGGTTAAAAGTCAGAATGCATTTTATTGAAAGAATAAAACAACAAGGAGAAAAAAGAGCCCTTTAGCATCAATTATCAGGTATTGCTGCTTGAGGGGTCAGCAATGCTTGGATTGTAACTAACAAACAAGTTGTTATAGTGGGGTAACTGATATCTACAGCACCATCAACACAAAGTGATAAAGTGGGAATATACCCTTTGACAGATGAGACTTGTTTCCAAGTCCTTAAACAGAGTTACAGCCACCACTGTGTGAATATTTTTGTAAATGAATCAATTAAAGCCTCTTATTTTGTGTTATTGATGGGCATGCTAATAAAATATTTATTCCAACAAATTGCTTTTGGTATCTTGATTAACACAGCTGCTGTTTAATTAACAGTGTTATGCTCATGTGAATCCATCTAGCCACCAGGCTAATTGCCAATCTTGGTACTGGAAATGCTGGCTATTGGCCTGGCACCAAGTGATAGACTTAAATGTGTGTTCCCTGATAACCAAAGCAATTATGATGCACATGAGCTGCAAGATTCCTAATTTGGTCATCTTGAGTTGCAGTAATCATTCAAAGGGACCGATGAAGGGGTTGGAACAGGATGTCCAAAGCATCAAAGATCACTAGCACCTGAAAGCATAAATAGGAGCCTCTGGATTGATCCAGAGAGAAACACAGACAGCCAGGAGGCCTTGTCTTGACAACACTGAGTTCAAGGCATGGAAACCTTCTGGGATCCCTGCACTGTACAAGACTCCCTGTCTTACCTGGAGAGCCCAGGCTGTTAAGGGTCTCAGAAGATGCCTGTCAGTGCTATTCTGCAGAAAATCAGCTGGGAAATTGTGGGTAAAGGCTGCTGTCCTCAGCCTTCATCTATACAGGGGTTAGGCTATACACCTTTCTCTAGACAGAATAAGCAATGCATAAAATATTTCAGGGAATCACAGAAGGTTTTGGTTGGAAGGGACCTTAAACCTCTTCTGGTTCAACCTCCCTGCTGTGGGCAGGAGCATCTTTCACTAGGCCAGGTTTCTCAAATTTTATCCAGCCTGTCCTTGAACACTTTCAGATATGGGGCATCCACAGTTCCTCTTGGCAACCTGTTCAAGTGCCTCACCACCTTCATTGTAAAAAATGTCTTCCTTATGTTCAATCTTGATCTATGCTCTTTCAATTTACAGCTCTTACCCTTTGCCCTCTCACCACAGACCATGGTAAAAAGCCCCCTTTACAAATGGAAAGGCTAAAATAAAGTTTAAATAGCCCCAAGTCTCTCAGCCCTCCAAATATCCTCATGGCCCTCCAAGTGGAGTATCATGAAAGCAGAGAAGAGTGGTAGAATCACCTCCCTTGACCTGCTGCCTACACTTTTTGTGATGCAGCCAAGGGTGCAATTGCACTTTGTTGACTCATGTTAAGTTTGCCGTCCACCATGATCCCCAAATTGTTCTCAGCAGGGCTCCTTTCCAGCCATTCATCCCCCAGCCTGTACTGCTATCATGGATTGCCCTGATGCAGGTACAAGATCTTGTACATGGCATTTTTGAAGTTCATGCGGCTCACACGAGCCCACTGCTTGGGCCTGCCAAGGTCCCTCTGGGCGGCATCTCATCCTTCAGGCCCACCAACAGCACCACCCAGCTTGGTGCCATCTGCAAACCCTCTGAGGGTGCAGGCAACACTGCTATGTCAGTTATAAAGACATGAAATAACACTGGTCCCACTCTGGGCCCCTGAGTGATACCATTTGCTATTGAACATTGAGCCATAATTCTTTGGACATGACCACACAGTATTGTCAGACCCATCAGAATTTTCCTACCAAAAACATTATTTCTTCAATGTCTAGCTGAGAAGTGTTGCTGAATTCTCCGAGTCATAGTGAAGGACAAGCTCAGGATGTGAGAAACAGTTGTCACCTAAGCTATAAGTTGGCTGGGACTTCAGCCTGGAGTCCACAAAGGGATTTCTTATTAGTGGAACATAGGTACATTGGAATGATGCTATTATCAAGGCTTTTGATGCATAATTT